CTCAGGACAAGTGGAAATTTTACAAAGATACAACTGCAAGTACTTCCAGTCAAACAAATTAACGTTGATGGAGCAGGCAGTGCATACATAGATATGTGAGTGAGGTGCTGAGTGCATAGTCTAGATCAGTGGTTCTTAATATTTTTGTGCATGGACACATTAGATGCAAGGCATTAGCTAATCAACCCATTCTTCAAGAATTTGCCTGGACAGTCCTAAATTTTGGGGTACTCTTCAGGCAAATATAAGTTCTAGGGAGCTGTCCTTCATTTTGAAATCTGCCATCAGATGTCTAAATGCAGGAAGAGCTGGGCACTAGCAACATTCATAGAACACTTCGGCAGCACTCTGTGCGTAGCCTGCTGAAGGGCCAGGCTGACTGAAGGGATGTCTCTCCCCTTGGATGAGCAAACCAACACCCTTTAATTAGCAGACACACCCTTTTGCTGGGTAGACCTACCCTCTTTAACAGTCAAAAAACGTCCCTACAAGCTGCTCTAGTGCCTGCCCAACTCTCTCCAGAAAGGTGGACAGGGAATTTTGGCAGGTATGCTGCAACAAATATACAAAACACTTTTACTATAGTCTTCTCAGTGTCCAAGAAGTCTCTATCATAGTCAAGGCAGTGCTTCCATACTAAGCCATTATAGTGGGCAGATGCCTATAACCTCTTTTCATCAACGAGGCTCCCTTAGCACTTGGCCTCAACGTCACAGCGATGGTGGGACCTTATGCGCAAAAGTTAACAGAATTTACAGGTAATTTTTAATGGTTTATTCAATGGTGTAAAATCCAGTGAAATGGCAGTTTTAGTGAATTTCAGTTTAAATAAATACATCAAAGCACACTTAAAATTATATTGTATTATTTTTTTTATATCTAACAGAATCGCATTTATAGCACACAATGCACAAGACAATGGTTACAGAGAAAAAAAATAAGGCAGATTTAGAGTAACAATGGTGGTCTACATTTTGTAATCCATTTAGGACATTTTGATTAAATTACACCAAATGTGACAGTTTTAAAAGCAAATTTGGAGCTAAATTAAGATATTGCTAGAGATTCATTGCTTTGCATGTTTTCGTCCCCCCTCTCCGCCCCTACATTTCCTTCTTGAAAGAGTTGTTTTTAATGCCTCATTAATGTAAAATAAGTGGTATCACAGCTCAGGTCCTACGAACAATGGAAAGGGGCTTACATTGTTCTAAGTAATAGCATCTTTAAGATAACCTCTTTTTGTTAATCACTACTCTGGTGCAACATGCCAACTGAAATCTTCTTTTATGTCTTAGCACCTGCGTGCTCAAAGATTATAATTTAATCCTGGATGTTTCTTTTACTCAGACATTTTACAAGTGACGTTCTATACTTCGAGCATTGATAATAGTTTTGCTGGCATGTCTCTCTATTCACTTGCTTTTAGAATTGTTCTTGATCAAGAAGTGATCCATTTTCTTAAGTAAAATATATATTCTAGTGGATCAGTACAGAAACTTTGGACATTATTTTTTTAATTTAATAATGTCTTCAATGTTTTACAATGACATGTTTCATGAAGAAAGAAGGTGTTGAGATAAATGCTTTCGATAGGAGCAGGGTGAGCTAAGTTTAACTGTCTGATGTGGTAAATATATGTTGTCAGCAATTATTTTTAAATCTGCTAAACAGTAACTTTCTAGGGACTGCATACATTTTCTAACGTACCCCGGGGGTACGTTAGAGAATATGTATGTGTCTTACTGTCAGTGAGTGTGTATGTGTCTGTCAGACTGTCAGATCAGTGAGAGTGTGTGTCTGTCAGTGAGAGTGTGAGAGTGCATGTCTGTAAGTGACTGTGTGTGTCTGTCAGTGAATTTGTATGTCAGTAAGGGTGTCTCAGTGTGTGTCCAGTCAGTGAGAGTGTGTTTGTTTCCTCTGTGTGAAATTGTGTGCGTGTCCTCTGCATGTAACTATATGTGTAATATATTCTCATTTTGTGACTTTACTACTTTACATTAATAGTTAATACACTCCTCCTTACATGCACAATATTCACATTGTCATATTTATTTAAAAAATATTTTTAACTACTATTAATCAGGCTTGTTCTCCGATAAGGGATTCATTTAAATATCAGTGTCTTCACATTTCATTTTGAATTTAAGACAATAGAAATTACATACTTGTGCCAGGGGTAATTTGGAATTTTTTTTAAAACCTGCAGGGTTAATTCTCTGTAAAAGGTTCAGAAACATTGGCCTAGGCAACTCCATTCTTAAAACCTTTTGTATTTGTCACTGCTGGGCTTGCTTGATATGTTGATAAATTCTGGAGCCAAAAAGGAAATGCTTTATTTTATGTGAGCGTATGACAAATAGAAACTAGTTTTATTTCCATGCCCGGGTTTTCTGAAAAGGTAGTTTACATTAAAAACCCTGCAGGGACTGACTGTACTAACCAGAACAACTACAATACGCTGTAGTTGTTCTGGTGACTATAGTGTCCCTTTAACTCCTAAATGGCATACAACTGAACAGTGACACTGCAGGGGCATTATCTATACAACAAAACTGCTTCATTAAAGATGTTTTGGTTCTTAGAGTTTCTCTTTAAGAAAAGTTATTAGCAATATTGCAACATGTATATGTTAAATTTACAATTGTATATGTGCATTAAGGATTTTTTTTTTAAAACAAGTTAACCATTGCCCACTGAATAAATTGTATACGTGGCTTAATGTTTGGTTTGGTAATGTACTACTAATTCTAGGCTATAATGGCTCATTTGCCTTTCTCTTTGACCCAAACTTGTATTTCCCGCTAAAGTGAAAAAAATATATGTTAGTGCACAATTTTGCCTGTGTGTATTACTGCACGTGTACTGGAAATGGTGGACGTGCCTTCGATTCTCCTTCAAATGACAGTACGTTTTAACACAAGTTCATGGCTACATTCCAACAGCCAGGGAGGGGAATGAAGAAGGGCTCAGAACACATTCAATGAACCTCACTGATTATTTGCAGGACAAATAACTATAGCAGCTGGTAGAGCCTGCACATCAAATATGTAATGTAAATTTTCATACTGTATGTGGATATAATGCAATGAACAATGTGTTTACAAGATAGGCCAGTCATCTTACTATATTAGTTACAAACCCAGTATTCAGATTCAGAGAAGGAACAGATCCCTCACACATTTTTTAGAACCAGTCAGTCATCTCTAGTTCATTATTTTATCACATTTCTTTGAGTGCATCAACAATTGGCCGTGTCTTGCTGAGTCAATAAGCTTATGCCCTATTAGTTGCTCTCTGTAAATATTTTCTGACCAAATGCTCTCTTGGAATCTACTTCTTAACTCAGCTGTGCTGATGGTTTTATAACAAAAATGCTAAAAATGGTGTGAGATTCTTAGGTAATACCAAACAGACATGTGTTTGACTATGGCTGGCAAGCTTAGACCTGGGGCATCCAGGCAATTTATTAACTGTTTACCTACGATTAAAGCCTCTTTATATCCAGTCATGCAACTAAAATAAGTTCCATGTTGTGTTTTATCTTCAAAAGTGTCTACTTATTCCTTCAGCATTTAAGCTCTTGATTTCCATTGGACTAATGAATCATCAATGTAGTGAATTTACATAAAAATATGGTGTGCCTAGTGAGTCAATTCACAAAACACTACTGGGGATCGTTACAAAACACCGGATTTTGTCCGAATGAAATTCCAACCGTATTGGCAATTTATTTACTAAAGCCAGTTGTGGTCAGGATTCGGTTGTTCCGACTGATTCTGTAATATACGTTTGAATGAGTTCGTAAAATCAGAGATTTTCACATCTGAATCAATTTACAGCACTGGAATGGGAGATATATTAACGACTGCATCAACCAAATGCATCCGGCGGGATACATGTTCGCAAATGATCATACACTTGCTATTTGAAAGTGAATGATAATTAAGAACCTAAAAAAAAAAAAAAATAGTATTGCCAGCAGGCAAATAATTCTGATTTTTTAAAAAATCTGGGCCTAGAGTTGAAGCCCTGATTTGATTCATTTGGTCCATATTTCAGCCATCAGACGGTGTTTGGGGCCTGAATTACAAAAGCAGGACTTTGCAGAATTCCATGAACAATGTCTAGAATGTGCAGTCTGAATTGCACTGTACAGCAGCGAATGGTTTTGCCCCATTTTTTGGGGCCTTTTGGACCTTAGTGAATAACCCTATACATGTGCATTTCAAACATGAGACAGCATTCTACATATACATATTAACCAGGGTAAAAGCAGAAATATTCCAATAACCATTTCACTTGTTTTATTTACCAAAGTGTGAATTGTCGATAAGTGAAAGTGAATTGAGTCTAATATGAAAATAAAATGCAAAAAACCCTAAATTGGTTTGTATTGAAAACATTTAATTCATTAAGTAAAAGACACAGTAAATGCATGATCCTACATTGAAAACTACAAACAAAGGGAAACACCAGTGATACTGTGTAAATACCAGACTCATAAATATGTAAAGTGAAGGTATAAGTTATTATACGGGGCTAGAGTCACAAATACCACAGGGTATAGTAATATGTTTGAAGATCTATAATATTAATACAGGATTGGAGATAAAATATTTATTTGGTCCAATCATATGCTAATAACACATGGTGATTAAAGCCACTAAGTGAGAAGTGTACAGAAAAAAATGAACCTACAGACAAGAGGCTATTAAACCTAAATGATTATGTAAACTCAGAAATTCCAGCAAGTTTATTAAGTTTTAAATTACATAATACATAAATATAGCTGCAGTTTAGATAATTAGCAACAAAGTTGAAAATACATGTCAGAACGAATAATATAACGGAGCTAACAGGATTTCTCTGCTATAACTTTGATAAAAAACTAGCATGAGGGGGCGGAGCCTAACAGCCGCGCTGACTGGTCGCACACCACGAGAGCTCCGCAAAGAAACAATCTAAAACTGCAAGAAAACGCGACTTATATCCTGACAAAATAAAGTTAAAGCTTCCTATAGACAAGAGGAGTCCGCGGTGGCTGATCTGACATAGCCTGTAACCGAGGTTAGCGGCTGTTAACAGGGGCAGATCTACGGCCTACAAGAGACTCACTTACAGTTGGTGGGAGGGAGGTGGCCAATCCCTCTATAACCAGCATCATTTCACCGCTGAGATCTCCCCTTCATTCTCTCCCCCCCCCCTTGCCGGTGAGGGATATCCTGGCACCTTCTATCTGCGCTGCAGAGGCGAGGCATAAGCAGCCTATCACCAGAAACGGCAATCCAGACGCTTACAAAATGGCGGACGCCACGTGCGGATCCGCACCCATGGACCAGATGCCCTCTGTAATGGAGAAGATAGATGCACTGTTTGCTGCCTTTTGGACCAAACTAGAAAATCGCCTGAGTGCCACAGAACCCGTCTCGCTAACACAGCTTGCACCTACCCTGTCTCCAACCAAGCGGAGATCTGAGCCTGCTGTCCTAAATGGTGGTGCCCACAAGAGGACAGCTACCCTGACAGTCCCTAGATGGGAGGAACAGAGGATGGTGACCCACAAGAGGAGATCTACTCTGAGAGTCACTAGATGAATGAAACTGATGGGGGTGACCCACAAGAGGACATCCAACCTAAAAGTCTCCAGATGGGGGAATCAGTGGATGCCACGATCTCATCTGCAGAGGCGGGTTAGGAGCTGAGGTCCTGTCAACCAAAGTAGTGACCAAAGCAGGACACGGAAGCAGTACTTGCCAACACCGCGGTATCACTTGCCTGTGAGCTGTCTATCACAAATCTCTGGATCAATAATCTCCACTCTGCTTGGGACAGTACCCCTACGACGGACCAGTGTGGTACTGAACTGTGCTCTCTGTCTGTAAGGTATAGGGTAACCCGGGATATAATATTGAGTGTGCATGCCTGGCGATATAAATTCCCTACTTTCTCTCTAGGGGACATTGCCACTGACACCACCTTTTCAATATATGCTACCAATACCCCTAGAATGTGTTCAATGCATAGTTCCTTGTACCTCTACCTATGATCAGCATCATACTAATTGTTAATACAAATACAAAGAAACTGGTCCTGCGCTCAAACTCCCATTACTCCTGGGTGGTAACAACGACCATAGTACACATCAGCCAAAATACATATAGTAAAAACCAAAGAAAAAAGTTACCTGCGCTCTTTCCACATCCCTATGTATTTTTAAACAAATGGGTGTATATAAAAAATACCCCTTTCTGTCTCATTAGAGATATTTTTGCCAGAAGCTCAAGGAAGCAAGGTGAATGGTTAGAGTTAGGACCCACCTAAGAGGTCTGCCTTGACGTTGGCAGGTGGGCAGACCCTCTCATGGCCATTGGAGGTAACTAAAAACCTTAATTTGTTTAAAAATACATAGGGATGTGGAAAGAGTGCAGGTAACTTTTTTCCTTTGGTTCATACTAATTGTTATTGGGTATGCTTTATCACTACTACTATAATGTTTAGCTTGACAATTAATGCACAGTGTAATGTAATGCCTGATTCGCCTAGAGACTCCTTACCAGTAGACAGACACATCACTGTTAACACCATTAGTTTTCACCTGCATAGTAACTAGTTTTCAACTAACGTTGAAATCTATATTTTGGTATCATTTTTGCCTACGCTATACTATGCATACCATATATTTTATGTATTATGTCATGCTGATCTAACTAGTTTTTCTGGTACTCGCACTCAGCAGCTATTTACTGTCTAGATATTTTACTTTTTTCCAAAACTGCAATACAAGCCCAATCTAGCTATGTTTCCTTAGCATGTCTATTAGCCTGTCATTCTAACAAAAAACGTGTGCATGTTCTCTCCATTTGCCTGACCACATGTAAGAAAATTATTTTGTTCTTGTCATTGGCTGTTGTGGTATGACTAGAATGTTGTATCCCTCTGCACAACAAAAATAAAGATAAAAAAAAACAACAAAAACTACCCCATAATACAGCTTCCCAAAAGAATAGTATTGAATATATTGCTATAACAGCTGTAGGAATAAATGGCAAGCAGATGAAACTAATTCTGCCAAAGAACAGTAGTGTGATTTAAAATTATGTACTATATTCAGAAATACTTTTTTAAGCCCTCCCATCCACAAGCAGATCCAACCGTAAAACAATAGAACAGTTAGAGATGTAGGTTTAAATGTTAAAACAAAATTCTTACTTTTTAATGAAGAAAGAGGGCAGAACAGCTAAGCCAGGTGCCCAAAAGGTAGATCACCATTTTTTTTTTAAACCACAGCTTCCACGATGCTTTTCAGTGCTAGAGGAATTCTAAAGACATGCAAAGCATCATGGAAGTAATAGTTTTAAAACATCTGGCAATCTACCTGTTGGGCCCCCCTGAACCAAGCTGTTACAAGTGGATAGTGATACTTTGTTATTGAAAAACCAACTTAAGAAATAAGTTCAGAGCTCATTGGCTTTAAAAAAAACTTGCAAAGAGAAAATCAATTTGACACCGAGAGGACAGTATATGGTATATATGAACATATCGGTCCTTTTGGATACACCATATCACTATACTCTCCCTGGGGCCACAACATGGACCCTTAACTTAGAAAGAGATCCTATATCTATCCTAGGTATAAATAAATCTCACTACAAACGAAGTGCTAATTCTTAAATGGCATAGAGAAAAAGTGACCAGGAGCCAAGTATTTCATGAATAGGGCCTAAAAAGTACAAGCTGTTAAAAGTTGGACAAAGTGCTAGCTAATAAATTAGCGTGGATCTGACACCCATTTTGCCCCCATTACAGTCTAATCTTCTTCTGGGTCCCTATACAGAATATCAGCCTTTATCCTTTAACTTGTTGCACTTGAGTACCCAACTTGAAAAATCTTTCTTATTATTTTAAGTATTTTAAGAGCGTAAGTTAGAAATTTGTCCTGTTGTAGTTTCTATGCAAATTTATTATTACATGCACATTTTAAAAAACAATTCCCATTGGTAAACACTATGTGGTGAACGGTATCAATTGCTGTAGATGTTACTAGTGAGCAGATGTTAAAGGCGGGGATTATTTGTGTCAACTGAAACCTACTATCTGTTGTCAATAACAACAGCTTACAGGAGATATTTACCGACAACAGTATTCTACAGCACTTTCAGCTTTACTGGATCTGTTTAACATACCTTATGTTAAATTCTCAGGCTATAGTGATCACATTCCTGTCCAGGGACGTTGCTAAGTTCTAGAAACATGTGGGCCTTGAACCCCCCAAAAATTTGAAGAAACCACCACTAATGAAGGGGTGCGTATGTGTCATGTGTGTCAGCCTGATGCTCTCTAGGATCTCAATGAAAACATAGCAAGAAACATGGACATGCTGTACAGCTAGGTTGGCAGCCTGTATTTTTGCCCCTCCAAACTGCGTCACCCTCTACACCACCCCAACTCTATCTTGTTAGGGAAATCACATGCACATACTGACATTCATATACACCTACACATTTTTATAGATGGATACTCATGTTCACATGCACTTACATTCATGTACACATGCATTCGTATATACACACGGACACATACACAGACACGCCCATTGATATAAATACACACAATCTCATATACAAACACACACACACACACTCATTCACACACTGATAAACACACATAATCATACATACAAACATTCATATACACAATGAAAACATAGCAAGAAGCAAGGACATGCTGTACAGCTAGGTATTTTATGTGATCCAGTCATGACACATAACTAATAGAGGGTTGTGCAGCAAAGTTCTGTAAACTTGCACCCTCAATCGTCACTTCAGAAGGCACCAGGGGCGGCTCTCTAATTAGGCGGTTTAGGCGGCCGCCTAAGGCCTCGCGCTGGCTAGGGCCTCGCGGCCGCCTAAACCGCCTTATGCCAGACTGTGTCAGGTCCTCAGTCAGTGACTGAGGACCTGACACCAGGAGGGGGCCAGGCGACTGGGTGCGAGGCCCCTCCTGGCTCCCCGGCCACCATCGCAGACACAGGTCTGCAGCTCCGCAGTGAGCAGAGCTGCAGACCGTGTCTCGCGAAAACCGTCCAATCAGAGTGTTGCCGTGGGTTACCACGGCAACGCTCTGATGGTCTTGCGATATTATATGGTCTGCAGCTCTGCGAAGATGCAGACTGGAAGCAGAGGCCACCGAACCACCAGGGAGCCCACTGGACCACCAGGGATGAAGGTAAGCTCTCTCACCCCCTCACCGTCACCCCCCCTTTTCACCCTCAGCCTCACTACCCTCCTCAGCCCCACCACCCTCAGCCTCACCACCCCCACCACCCTCAGCCTCACTACCCCACCACCCTCAGCCTCACCACCCCACAACCCTCAGCCTCATTACCCC